AACATCGTAAACCTTAACAAGAGAGAAAAAGCTTGAAAGCCTCATTGGTCTCACAGGTACAAAAATATCCCATGTTACTGCTCACTTTGTGGAAGGAAAGTAACTGACCTGGGGCCAAGGGACAAGTATACCGCAACGTGCAAGCCACAGTCAGCTGGCCTTGCTTCTCGGAGCAGTCACTTTTTTCTAATGAGGGGTGGAGGGGGGTGGGAAATATTCTTAACAGCAGCAGCTTTCTGAAACCTGCATCCAAGGTGAAATTCCAGCTACCCCCAGGAGAAGGTTTAGTCCGTAAAAGGCAGGCTGCCTCAAACAGAACGTTACAAAACAAATGACCCGAAGATGTAAAAATGAAACCGTTATCACATTAAGCAATAACTTAGGCTTATGTTAAAAAGTTCAGACCTATCCATTTCGGAAAGCTTATGCTGAGGTATTGATTGCATACAGTGTTTGCTGTCATTGAAATTACCTTCAGAGGTACTCTGCATGTTTTGTAACATAAAGGCACTTGTGTTTAAAATTTCAAGCACAAGAAAACCAACAGTAGCCCTGAACGATCTGGATATGTGTATTTAAGAACACAATATTGTCTGATTTGCTACACTGGCTACTAGGCTGGTCTGATTAACAGGCAGAGCTGCAACTCACATCCCCCAAAACACTTCTGCCCATAAACCCACAACTCAAATAAATACTCAACAGTCTTTCCAGCCTGGCTCTGAAATGGACAGTGTCCTTCAGAAATAGAGACCTCAGTGCAGGAAGGGAAGTGGCACTTGGAAGACGGAGAGGCACCCTTTGTCTCCCTCTTCATTTTGATGGCACAGGGCCCTCTCCCAACTCCCCAAATTCAAGACTGGAAGGGAACCGAGGGCTTGTGGAGATCCAGCCCCGTAGAGGCACCGCCCCCTGAGTAATAAGGCCGCAGCTAGGAAGTCACTGCCGCCTGCAGCAATCCCCTCCGAAGGCTTCCTCGGTACATCCAGAGGCTGTGACTCACACAGCAGGACCGGCTTTTCTCACATCACTACCCCATGTGGCTGAAATTACATAGCCGTCCTCCCCATGTTCCCACCACTTGTTCCCAAATCATGATTCAAGGCTTTCTCTTCATTAAAAAATAAAAATAAAAATAAATCAGGTTTCATTTTAAGTCCACAGAACCATCCAGAAGGGTCACTACTTCTTAAGGAACACTTCTCAGTGTAAACCCCCAGAACCTGGTTTAAAAGAATGACCCCAGCCTCATGAACAGATGACCTGACAGTTAACTGTAAAAGACAAGACCAAGAAGCCCTTACAAATATATGAGGTCTCTCCTCCCCCGTTTTTGGTGTGAAAGCTTAAAGGCTGCATACATCAGTCATTGAGGGGCTGGTCAACAGGCAAGACTTGGTTTGGAACCTGCTTTTCTCCGTCACTAAAGCCCTCAGTAGGAGCCGGGTCACGGAAACGTGGCCACCACAGCTGCACACGAGGCCACCTTCAGGAAAGGCCTGGACTCCAGAAAAACACTCCTTAAAAAATCCGCAGAAAAGCCGGCCGCACTCTGCAGGCTCAGCCGGTCACCGAGCCAGCTTATGAACACGCAGCAGCATCTTCTCATCCGTCTCATCAGTTCCTCATATCCCTCTGGGCTTCTGTTAGTTTCTGGATTAGGTAACGCTTGTCACGACTTTCCTAAGAAAAAGAAATAGGTTCAAGAGTTCATTCAGTATACTAGGAACAAATATCATGATTTCAACCTGCTCAATTACCTACCAGACACGAGGCCAAGGATGCTGAACATTGGACGACTGTAATGGCCTCCTGACTGGCCTGTCTCTCTCACTCTTGCCCCCACCACAGCCCCCTGTCCAAAGAATGGACAGTAGCCTTTAAAAAATGTCCATCAGACTTCTACTTCACATCCTCCGGTGGCTTCCTGCCACAATCAGAATTCCACCTAAACTTCTGACCAGAGCCTCAGGCTATGCTGTGGCCCAGCTGCAATTCCGCCTCATCTCGCCTCTCCAGCCCCACCACCCTCCCTCCCTGACCCCGGGAAAACCCAGCCCATTCCGCACTGTGGCCTCTGCCTGTTCCTCTCACCCCTGAGACCTCCCACAATCAGCTCCTTCTCATCACTCAAGTCTCAACTACAAGGTCATTCACCTCCTCAAAGAGGCCTTCAGTGGCCACCATCTGCAGCAGCAAATGGCCCACTTGTCACTTTGCCTTATTCGTATTATCTTCTCAGCAGTTACTGCTATCAACATTTCTTTTTTCTTTAACTACTTAGTATTCCTTCTCCACCACTGTATACCAGCCCAGTATGAGGCACAGATAGTGCTTAATATATATGCTGAAGGAATGAATGAGTCAGTGAATGAATGAAGTTGGCAGAGGCCTGGCTTGAAGCAGGGTTCTGGAGGAGTGGTGGTGAGGGAGGGACAGTAGCATTCCTGGGAAAGAGGCTATTTTCCACTAGATGCCCTGGGGAGATGTCCCCCGCCATGACCCCCTGGGCCTGCATGCTTCCTTACCAGGGACAGCTGCTCTCGGAGCTGGACGACCACCCGCTTGTGTGCTCCGGCCAGGGCAATGAAATAAAACATAACGAGGCTGCAACACAAGGTGAAGTGGTCACTAGGGTGTCTGTACCATTTGAAGGCCACTTAGAAAAACAACTTGACAGGTTTCGCCTGCAACAGTTTTACTCATTAGAAAAAGACAACCCACACCTCTTCCAAACAGAGCATCTAAACAGAGGGGTGAATGATCACTGTGGAATCTCTCTGGCCTCAGTTTTCTCATCTGTAAAATGGGGATAATACAGTAACACCCAGTGATATCAGGCCTGAGATAATACAATTTTGAATAAAAGCAATTGGCAACCGGCTCCTGTTTTCTGTGCAGCCCTAAATCTCAAATGGGGGTAGGGGTGGTCAATGAAATTATTATCTTTGGGGAGTGGGGCAAGTGGAGTGGAGGAAAACAGCGGACAAGCTCATTACATGAAGGGAAGGTGGTTTCCTGTCCATTCTCCCCAGATAGTGCTGAGGAAATGAGGGCCACTGGAATCACTGTTATGATCGATACTCTCCTGGAAGGCCCCACGGCCAAGGACAGGAAAGGTCCCCAGAGATGCTGAAGCCAGATCAGGTAACCACCACCAGATGGTGCCAGCCAAACCACAGCTGGGGTGAACGAATTAGGATGGAGTAGCTCCATCCCGGGTACCTCGGATGCAGGCTGGCTGGCTGCCCAGCTCCCCAGGTCATTTTATTCATCTCATCAAAGGGATCCTGCTTTCACAAATGAATTTTTGGGCCCACTTCTTGCACTGCGGTGGGGTTTTACTGTAACAATGTCACAGGGTAATTGTGATGCTTTCATGAGCTGCAATCAATTCCAGTTATTTGTGGCAGTCTCTAGAGCAGTGGTTCTCAACCTTCTGGCCCTTTCAATACAGATCCTCATGTTGTGACCCAACCATAAAATTATTTTTGTTGCTACCTCATAACTGTAATGTTGCTACTGTTATGAATCGTAATGTAAATATCTGATATGCAGGATGGTCTTAGGTGACCCCTGTGAAAGGGTCATTCGACCACCAAAGGGGTCGAGACCCACAGGTTGAGAACCGCTGCTCTAGAGTCTCCAGGAACGCTGAATTAGTGAATTTTGGACCAATGCCCTTAGAGCAGTGGTTCTCAACCTTCCTAATGCCTCGACCCTTTAATACAGTTCCTCATGTGGTGGTGACCCCCAATTTCATTGTTACAAATTGAACATAATTAAAGCATCGTGATTAATCACAAAAACAATACGTAATTATATATGTGTTTTCCGATGGTCTTAGGCGACCCCTGTGAAAGGGTCGTTCGACCCCCAAAGGGGTCGCAACCCACAAGTTGAGAACCGCTGCCTTAGAGGAACTACAGGCTTAGGTTCCTATGGTCACAACATTTTCCTCAACTGATCAATACCTTGTCTTATGTTTCTTGTTTACTGCGAAAGGTTATCCATACATAACCTTGTTTCTGTTTAAAGACATTTAATATTCATTAGCATTGAACTTGAGCCAACAGCACTGTAACTCATGACTGAGCCAAGCTAATCTGATACACGGATTATCTCTGTAAAGCACATCACAGCCTTCTTGCACTTAGGAACACTAGACGGCACTTCAGCATTACACTTGGGGCCTTCAAACAGTGAAACCACCAACCAAAAGCGTAAAATGCAAGAAACACAGCCCTAACTAGATTGCAAACAGGGCACTTGCTTGTGGTGTGAGAACTGAAGTCAGAGGCAGTGTACTTAAGGCCTCATTTCACCTCAGCCGGGAAGGTGCATGCGATGGTCTGAATATGTGTGTCCCCCCTAAATTTACATGTTGGAATCCTAATCCCCAATGTGACAGTGTTAGAAGGTGGGGCCTTTGGGAGGTGATTATGTCATGAGGGTGGAGCCCTCACTATTTGGATTAGTGCCCTGATAAAAGGGACTAGAGGCCCCGTGGCCCCTGCTGTCCTGTGAGGACGCAGTGAGAAGGTTGAAAGCTGGAAGAGGGTCCTCATGCAGCCATCCGGCACCCTCATTTTGGGGCTCCCAGGCTCCAGAATTGTGAGAGATTCCTGTTGTTTATAAGCCACCTAGTCTGTGCCGTTTTATTATAGCAGCTTGAACAAACTAAGACTGCGCGGCAAGAGACTCAAATGACCATGAAAACTGCTGCGAGTACTGATTTTGAGATTTCAACAATCTTTTAGTGAGTGGGCACATTGACATCACAGAAATAAAACACACAGACTCCGTGAACAATGAGGCCCCACTGTAATTAGAACAATGCCTCGCACGTAGTAAGCCCTCAATACACATTTGTGATTAGGATTACTTTAACACTCAATATGAATCACTGTGTAGCAAAGACCCTCGTCACCCTTGCATATAGCACCTCTCATTTACTGAGCCTTTAACAGCCAGGTCCTCTGCTAAGCATTTTTTCTTTTTTTAATATGGAACGTTTCACGAATTTCCATGTCATCCTTGCACAGGGGCCATGCCAATCTTCTCTGTCTCGTTCCAATGTTGGTATATGTGCCGCAGCAGCGAGCACTCTGCTAAGCACCTTACATGTGTTATCACATCTCCTCCTTCTCACAACCTTATCAGGTATGTGCCATTCTTATCCCCATGTTCCAGGTGAGGAAACGGAGGCTCCAACAGGATATATATGTGATGACCCAAGGCCGCACAGCTTATAACTGGTAGAGTCAACGTTCAAGTTTAGGCTCTTTTCTCTGCTCAATAATCAGTTTCTTTTTCAAAAAGCAGTGGTTTTGTGAATAATCAGTAATAATAAGAATAGGCAACATTTATTAGGTTTTTGTAAGTCAGGCACTGGATTAAGTGCCTTACATGTAGGATCTTACTGCACTTGCTCAATGACCCTCTGAAGGAATGACTATTATTATGCCCATTTTAGAGATGGGAAAGTGAGGCTCAGTAGCATCTGAAGGGTAGCAGGTGAGTCCCCATTTCCCAGCGGAGAGAAGCCCACGTGCTTCCCTGGGAGTGACTCACGGGGTCCAGGTGGTTCTCACTCACCAGATGATCATGAAGAAAGGCACTGCAAAGGCTTCCGACGTGATGCCGTGGACCAGGGACTGCAGCGTGCTGGGAAAGGTGCTCACCGTCTTGGGGACCACCTCCCAGGTGGTGTTGGAGTTGGTGAAGGGCCCACAGGCTTTCGAGGAAGGGATGCTGCAGACACAGACCACGGAGCTCAGGTGCGCGCTCCCAGGGTGAGTGTTCCCCCTTTACACACCTACCAGGTTTTGTTAACAGCAACCTTCGAGCAACTGCCTGACCTCATGGCCTTCTGGAATATTCTGGTCAAAAATGCTTACCCTGAAATTTCATCAAATCACTAGACCTGACTTCCAATTTACAGGAAATTCAGAACAGAACAAGTTACATGACACCGTGAAGAAATAATCTGACAAATGCACAATGTGGGGATTCATTCTCCAGGCTCTTAGAGGTGAGGAAACTGGCCTGGACTCTTCAAAGGAGCAAAGGTTAAAAAAAGACTAAAAACACACACCCTAGAGCAATGGGTAAAGCTTGAAAGATCCTCATCCTATATAATAAAAGGGTAATATGCAAATTGACCAAACAGCGAAACGACTGGAACACCCGCGGCCCCTCGCCCCAGCCAGCCCACCCCCGATGGCTCCCACTGGGTGGGCCGGCTAGACCCCTCCAGTGCACAAATTTGTGCACCAGGCCTCTAGTTCTAAAATAAAGCTATGAAAGGCAATTTGGGGACAATTGGAGAAATTTGAAAATGGCAGGACTGTGATGTTAGTATTAATTTTCTTAAGTGTGACATGTTATTGTGGATGCACAGGCAGGAGGATGGCCTTATTTTTAGGAGCTGCATCCTCAAGTATTTAGGGATAAACTCATGGTGCCTACAACTTAATTTCAAGTGGTTCATCACACACACAAAAAGGTATGCATAGAGAGAGAGGAAACAACTGTAGCAAAATGTCAATAATTGGGGCATCCAGTTGAAGGGTATATGAGTTTTCATTGTGGCTATTCTTCAACTTTTCCATAGGTTTGAAATTGTTCAAAGTACAAAGTAGGGAAAAAGTAAAACTATGTTGGAAAAAAATTAAGCTCTGCAAAGAACTGCCTACATTCACATCACAAAGTTCTGTGTAGAAAGTTTTCCATTGCAGCCCTATTTTTACGGGCAAAAATAAATTCCTGAAAACAACCTAAGTGTTGTCTAAGGAAATGGATTAACAATTTATTATTTTTTTAATTTATTGATTGATTAGAGAGAGAGAGGAAGGGAGAAATAAATATATAAATATGGATGATGTGCCATGTCAATATATGTATTCTATTTTAAAAATTAAAGTTAAAAACTATTTTAAAAGAATGAGAATTCTATATGTACTGGCATGGACAATGACACAATATAAAATTAATGGGGAAAATAAGCTGCCAAACAGGATGATAGCATTATTCCATAGGTAATATTTTAAAAGAAATATATTGCTTATGAATTTCTAGAAGTATTCACAAAATGCTAACAGTGGTTACCTAAGAGGGGGCTTATGAGGTGAAGATAAAGAGTAATTTTTCCTCTTTAATTTACACCCTTCTGTACTATTTGAAAATTTTATGTATAATATATATTACTATAACAATGAAATATATATTTAGGTTACTTAAAAAATAAAGTATGAGAGACAGATTCCAAATTGAAGGATTTTAACTTAAAGATAAAGAAATTAAATTCCATGAGAGTGTAAGTCAGCAAGCTAGAGCCCATGGACCAAACCTGACCCCCCGACTTGCTTTTTATAAGTAAAGTTTTATTGGAACACAGTCATGTTCATTAGTTTTTATATTGTCTATGGTGGCTTATGGACACCATTTGGCCCTTAGAGCCTAAATTATTTACTCTCTTACTTTTACAGAAAAAGTTTGCTGGCCTCTGGTATAAGTGATTACCCACCGAGGGAGTGGCATGACTGGGGCTTGAAACCTCAACTTCTGCTCCTCAGTCCTGAGCTGAGCATCTCTGCTCTTTCCAAATTCCAAGCCAGACTCTACATTCATATGTCATGTGTTAAATGTCTTTATATCCCTAGCATCTAGCACAGTGCTTGGCACATAGAAGGTGTTAAGTAAATGTTTGCTAAGTGCAAACCCTCCACTAAAGTGGCAGGAATATGGGTGACTTCCTGCTTCTTTTTATAATCAGACACAATCCAAATGGGGACTAGAAGAAAAGTCTCAGGAAAAGGGAACGGATAGGACAGACCCACCTGGCACTCTCAAAAGTAATGGCCACCCAGCAAGCCCAAGTTCTGGAAGTGGACCCAGACGATCCAGCCACCAGAGGGAGCGTCCAGAGCAAGGACGGGCCTGGCTGAGCCAGGAGCAACTTCCTGACCGGAGCTCTGCGGGTGGCGCCCTGTGAGCAAAGCCCGTAGAAAACGCTAGGGACCCTTTAACAAAAGGGGATCGTGTCAGGAAGCAGGGAAATGTGTTAGAAAACCAAGTGGTACTCACTGTGCCATGCTGATTGTCAGCGGTATTACTGCCAAGCACAGGCCGATCAACAACACCAGCAGGAAGAAGAAATTAGAATTGGATGCTCTGAACTGCCTTGGGGAGGGTCTGCAGGTATGAAGAAGGCTCATCTAAGGGGAGAGAAAAAAGAGAGGAAACGTTAAGAGTACAGCTTCCTTGAGGATAAATGAGCAAGGTCAAGCATTACAGTGGAAATGTAAATTGGTCTAATCTTTCTACAGGGCAGTTAGCAATCTAGATCAAAATGAAAAATGTTTAATCCAGACCCCAACATTGGGCCAAAATACATGTATGTGGATGTTTACTGCTATAGTTGTTGTTATCAAGGAATAACTAAACTGGAGCAACCAAAATAGCTATCAAGGGGGTGGGGGTAGTCCTTAAAGGTTAAAAAGTTACACCCAGCCTTAGCTGGTTTTGCTCAGTGGATAGAGCATCAGCCTGTGTACTGAAGGGTCTCAGGTTTGATTCCACTCAAGGGCACATGCCATGCTTGCGGGCTCAATCCCCAGTAGGGGGCGTGTACGAGGCAGCCGATCAATGATTCCCTCTCATCATTGATGTTTCTATCTCTCTCCCCTCTCCCTTCCTCTCTGAAATCAATAAAATATGTGTTTGTTTGTTTTTTTAAAGTTACACCCACACAACAGAATACCATATAGCCCCTAGAAAGGAGGAGAAAGCGAGCTTTACCTCCTATGTGGTGCTGTGAAATGAAAAGGGTAGATTTCAGCACTCTGTCCTGAATGACCTCATTTAAGTTTTTTTTTTTAAAGTATTCTTTACTAGAGGCCCGGTGCATGAAATTCATGCACAGGAGGCAGGGAAGCGGGTCCCTCAGCCCGGCCTGCACCCTCTTGCAATCCAGGACCGCTGGCTCCTAACCGCTCCCCTGCCTGCCTATCTGATTTCCCGTAACCACTCTGCCTGCCTGCCTGATCACCCCTAACCGCCTCTGCCTCAGCCCCACCACCATGGCTTCATCAGGAAGGACGTCCGGAATGACGTCTGGAAGGTCGTTCGGCTGTCCGGTCTAATTAGCATATTACACTTTTATTATTATAGATAGGGGTTTAAATATGTATTAAATGGACCTACAGCCCTGGCCAGGTAGTTTAGTTGGTGAGAGCATTGTCAGATTTGATCCCCAGTCAGGGCACATACAAGAATCAACCAATGAATCCATAAATAAGTGGAACAACAAGTATCTCTCTCTCGCTCTCTCTCTCTCTCTCTCCATCTTACCAATAAATAAAAATAAATAAAATAAATTGATCTACAATACTCCATAAAAAATTAAGATATATTTTACTTGAATTCTTATAAGCATATTTATTTTTCCTATATTTTATTTTTTAATCCTCACATGAGATATTTTTTTCCATTGATTTTTTTAGAGAGAGTGGAAGGAAGGGTGAGGAGGGGGGGAGAGAGAGAGAAACATCAATGTGAGAGCAACACATCGATTGACTGCCTCCCACTTGCACCCCCAATGGGGCAGGGAATTTGGTCCACAGGCCGACGTAACCACTGAGCCAAACTGGCCGGGGCAATTTTTTCTATAGTTTAAAATAAGTATTTCCATTGAGAGAAATATCAAATGGGGAGGAGGAGAGAGGTATAATAACAGGCATAATATTTCTCCTTATTATTTTAAATGCAATTATTGGGAGTAGGCATCAAGCTCTTCTGATTTCAGCGGTAGCCAGAACATCTTGTGAGCAGAGGACACTGAGTTCCAAGGACACTTGGTGTTCTGTCTGGGGGCAGCCGGTCAGTCAGGCCTGGAGTGAGTGTCAGAACAGCCCAGTGCCCCTGACCCAGGCCTTCCCACGCTGTCTTTACTGTGCTGCCGGCTGGGAAGTCACTGGCCAACCAATATTTTCGGAAAAGGGAAAAAGTTCCTATGAGCTTTTTCTCCTCTATGAAGAAACTTCAGCCAAATGAAGTTTCCAAATGAAAGTATCAGAACATTCTTCAAAGGCTAAAACATCCAGG